TATGTCCCCCTTCTCATTTCTAATTTAGTTAATTTGCATGTGCTCTTTCTGAATTATAGTTAGTTTCATTAAAGGTTTTTTAACTTGTTGATTTTCTCGAAGTACCAACTCTTTATTTCATTGGTTCTTTGGAGTGTTTTCTTTGTTTCTACTTTATTGATTTTAGCCCTCAATTTGATTATTTACTGGGATCTAATCCTCCCAGGTGAGGTTGCTTCTTTTTGTTCTAGAGCTTTCATTTGTGCTGTTAATTCTCTAGTGTGACTATTCTCCAGTTTCTTCATGTGGGCATTTACTCCTAGGAACTGTCTCTTAGTACTGCTTTTAAAGCATCCTTAAATTTCAGTATGTTGTGTCTTCATTTAGAAATTCAGACAGTATTAAGAATGGACTAGAAAGCTATACCCTACCAAACTGAAAAATCCACACACGCCCCCACACACACACACACGCACGCACGCACGCGCGCACACACACACACACACACACACACACACACACACACACACACACACCGTGGTGTGTGTGTATCAAATTGAAACCTCCAATGAAATGGTAGCAATAATTAAAATCCTCTCAAATATCATAGGCCAGGAAGAGGCTGATTCAATGCATAATTCTCCTAGAGCTTCAGAAAGTACTCCTTGAATTATTTGGTAAAATATAAAATGATGAAAATTCTAAAAATCTTTCTACAATGTTGTTAGTGCCCTGCAACCAAAATTATGCAAGGCATAAAGGAAAGAAAGAAATGATGGAATCAAGACAGACAGACAGAAAGAAAGAAAGAAAGAAAGAAAGAAAGAAAGAAAGAAAGAAATATTGTAGGCTAACATCTCTAATGACTATGGAAAATATTTTGTCAAAAATATTTGTAACCAAATTCATAATGCATCAAAAAGATTACCCACTGTGATCTTATTAGATTAATCCCAGAGCTTTAGGGATGGTTCAACATATAGAAATTAATAAATATATACAATTTCATTATATTCTTCTTGCATGAAACTTATCATTTTAACTTCCATTCTACTGAAATATATATGACAACACATATCTGCAATATGCACAAGGAGAAAGCAAGGACTTTATTTCTTAAATATATGGTGTCTTCCATTAAACTTTTTTTGTTTTTTTTTTGAGACAGGGTTTCTCTGTGCAGCTTTGGAGCCTATTGTGGCACTCGCTCTGGAGACCAGTCTGGCCTCGAACTCACAGAGATCTGCCTGTCTCTGCCTCC